TTCCAAATAAATTCTCTAGTTATATCCCATTCTGTGGTAACAAATTGAGAAACTCAATCCCAACTGTTAAAAGTTTTTTTATGTTTCTAAGATTTCCTCATGCTTGTCTTCTATAAACTTAAAAGGACTTCACCTTTCCATAGGGAACTTGCTATATTCCATTGAACACTTTTGATGCCTTTTTGAATATATTGTAAAAAATGCAGCATCTTCTACATTAAAATTTCCTTAAATATCACATAAATATTGCCCTTAAACCTTATAAATTTTAGAAAGAGGCTCCTCACTTCTTTCTCAAACTGTGCTTCTCTACTTGACCATTTCAAGGCATGGTTTCCAGATGACAGACTACTATTGTCATAGAATATTATAAAATAGCCCTTGTTTTTAACTTTGTTTCCCCCCTTTTCTAGATTCAATATACATAGGTAACCATTTTATAGTGGAATAAAGAATGAATATTCATTATAAATTCGTGAATACTCATTAAAAATCGTGTTTTGGAAAAACATTTCATATAAACAAACACTTTTATTCTTTTCAGCCACAAACTTGATAAAATGTAGCACTAGAATTAAGAATATGCAGAACTTTTTTAGATCTGGTCAAAATGCTTACAGCCTTAAAGACTTTGTGCAGGTACTGGTAGTTCAATTCAAATTCACCTTAAAGTACTATATTTATAAAGTAAAACTGGGCTAAGATTCCTTATTTAGTAATAGAATCACAGGAAAACTTGAGTTGGAAATGATGTCTTGAGGCCATCTAGTCTAAGACTCACTCACAGTAATCCCAGCTAGACCAGGTAGCTAAGGGAACTGTTCTGTCAGCATTCAAATATGGAGATATCACAAGCTTTCCAGAAAGTATATTCCACATGGAAGTTAACCACTTCCATAGTGCTGTTGGTTCAGGGAATTTTTGTTCACCTTAATGTTGAATTTTCCTGCAATCTGACTTGTGTCCATTAACTCTTGTCCTGAGAGAATTTTAACCAGTAAGAAAAACCTTGTTCTGTCCTCCCTGTATCCTTCCAGGAGGTAGTGGTAAACTCCAATAAATTCTCTCAGCCTTTTCTTCAGGGTGAACAGGTCCAATTACTTCAGCATCTCTTTGTATATCATTTTCTCCATTTTCATGGTCCTCTGCTATGCTTGCCTCAGTAAGGAAATGTCCTTCTTTCAGCAGAGAATGCAAAACTTAGATACAGTAATTCAGATGCAGTTCCACAAGTCTGTAGCAGGGCTTCTCACCCTCCACAAGAATTTATTAGTTTGTTAACCAGTCAGGTGGTGAGTTGTTTTGGTGACATGGGGTTAACATTGGTCTGGCATCTCCCAGCTGCCAATGAATATCTTAATGCTTAAGTGAGATCTGGGACAATAAATCAGATTTTTGACCGACCTTTTGACACCTTTATTTTTGACTATAAAAGCAACACCAGACTTTCACAAAGCAGAAACCTGTACATTTTCCTGGAACTGTGTGGAGCTTCTCCCATGAGTAGGGATGCTTCACTGTTACTCCCCAGGGATTAAATGATGGAATCAGTGCACATTATTGTAATTTCAGTGAGTCACATTCTACTTGTAATCATATTTCTTTGTCTAGCTTTAATGTTGGTCCCTTGACATAGCGTACTGCTTTATGTTATGCTGTAATCTACTAGTAGTTCTTTAGTTTTATACTAAATAATAAGTAATCCTGATTAAGGTCTTTCATCTTTTGTCTCTGTGGCTTGTCAGCTCCCAAATTCTGGCTACACAAACCCAGAATGGTTGAAGTCCTCTATGATATCCTCCCTTCTCTCTACAGAGGGCCTTCATCACTCCCTGGTGGAAGACGCTGTACCAGACTCTCAAAAAAATGTCACTTGTCCCTGTCTTTTCTTTAATCCTGACGCATAAGCTCTCAGTTGACTCCTCATCCACCATCAGGCAAAGCTCCGTGCAGTCCAGCTGGACATTGGCATAGAGTGCAAACATTGCCTCCTCATCTGCCTTGTCTGCCCTTCCTAAAAAGCCTTTATCCTTCCATTGCAACACTTCAGTCACAGGAGTGAGTCATTCTGTTGTGTCCCTGTGATGCCAATATCATAGTCACACAGGCATGCACCCATCTCCAGCTCCTCCTGTATATTCCCCATGCTGCACGCATTTCAGAGAGCCATTTAAATTGAGCTCCTGATAAAGCAAATTTATTAGCTGAAATTCCTTTGTGCTGTCCTTCGGGTGCTATATTGCCTTTCTGCAGTCCTAAATACTATCTAAACCATTGCTTTTCATCCTGCATTTTGCAGATGGGTAAATTCTTCATAAACACTGTATCTAACAAGTGTTCAAAAGGGCAATAGAAAATGTTTATAGTCTGATATTTCATATGTGTACTTCTTACAGCATTTCAGTATTCATTTCATGCACATGATCTCACTTTTTAAGTATAACAGAAGATGTTTTCATACTTATTGTTGTGTTTGTGATTTCACAGAGCAAGCTACACTGACAAAATGAGATACGACATTTGGTTTATCCACAGTGGAAGGAATGATGAAATATAGTCACAGTCTTTGCAACTGAAAAAGTAAATTTAACTTATTACAGCACCGTATAAGAATTCAGCCTTAAAAAATTAGGCAAAATAAGTAATAATAATAATAATAATAATAATAATAATAATAATAATAATAATAATAGCAGTAATAATAAACCTTTAATTTTCTGCATCTTGAAAGTCTATTGTAAGACTCATGTCTTAAAAGATAGTAGGAGTGTGTATATGTATGCACATGTATAATACACTAATACACATACTTCTATATATATTAATATCCACAAATATTTATACATATATTCAAATTATATTCATGCCTTTATAATATTACTTAGTGGCTGGGCTGGGTTTGAGTTCCTGTATTCTGCACATCAATAACTTTCAAGGTATTTGTACATAAGGCTTGAAATAGCTTGTATACATCTTAAAAACCTATATAGCTCTCATAGGGACATAAAAATTTTAAACCACTTATTTTGCCTATCCACTTTAAGTAAATATTTCAGTCTAAATATAACCTTGATCATTTTATCCTTACATCGTTAACTTGACATTGTAGAATAAGGTTTAATGCAATGTAACTGACTTAAGAGCATTAAAAAACTGCAAGTGAAAGAGTGCTTTTGCTTCATGTTTTGCTCACTACTTTCCAATTGGCTGACAATCAGTCAGCCCACAATAAAAGAGAGCAGGGGATTAAAAAAAAAAAAATAGCCATGTTATGCAAGTGTCACATATTAAATTAACTGGTTATATAAAAGAGACTACATTTCAATGTGTAAGTTCTTGCCCATAGCACCAATCCACGATGAAAAGCCACACTGAAGCATGTATGTTCATATCTCAGTAAGATACTGTTTATTTGTTGGACTCTATGGTCTCAGAGGGGTTTTCCACCCTGATTCTGCGATTCTGTGAGTAAAACTATGTATGTCACATAAAGATAGAAAAATTTGTCTACTGCTTTTGATAAATTCAGATATTGCTGGTGTCTCTTGTCACTGCAAGCAGCTGAACTGAGTTTGCACGGCAGTGTTTCAGTGGGGGAAGGTAGAGGGGTGGCTTCCCTGAAGAGCTGCCAGAAACTTCCCCCTGGTCTGATGGGGTCAATGCCAGCCAGCTCCTGGGTGATCCACTGCTGGCCAAGGCTGAGCCCATCGGTGACAGTGGTAACGCCTCTGGGGTAGCAGTTAACATGAGGGGGAAAAAATGAACTGGGCAACTCCAGATAGAAAAAAGTGTGAGGATAGCAAAATAAAGGGCTCTGTAGATGCCAAAATCTGTACTAGAGAGGGTGGAGGTGCTGCAGGCACCAGAGCAAGATTCCCCTGCAGCCTTTGGTGAGGCAGCTGTGCATCTGCAGCACATGGGGGGGCTGAGATCCACCTGCAGCTCACAGACAACCTCATGACGAAACCGGTGGATGTCAAAGGCAAGCTGTGACCATTCCTGTGGTAAGCCTGAGCTAGAACAAGCTTCTGGCAGCGCCTGTGCCCTCATGGAGAGAGAAGCCCATACTGGATGCGGTTTCCTCTCAGGAGCTGTGACCCTGTGGGAGACCCACACTGGAGCAGGCTGTTCCTGAAGGATTGCACTCAGTGGGAGGGAACCTTCTGGAGTAGCTTGTAAAGAACTGCAGGCCATGGAAAGGAACTCGTATTAGAGAAGCTCTTGGAGGACTCTCTCCCTTGGGAGGCAGCCCACACTGGAGCAAGGGAAGGGCATGAGGAGTGCTCCCCCTGAGGAAGAAGGAGCAACAGAAATGATGTGTGATTAACGGACTGCACCCAGCTCCCAGCTAGGGTCAACCCACCGCAGCAACCCTTAGGACAAATACTGTGTAGCTTGTCCACATTTTCTTTCAGAAATTTAAAAAATAACTTTTGCTAGTAGACAAGATGGAAACAAAATCATGCTGGTAGAGTCAGTTGATTTTTAAGGCACTCTATTCATAAGTTTGGAAGGCAGGACTTCCAGAAGACAAGTCATATTCTGTAAACAAATTCTGCTGACACCAACTGCATAACAATTGTAGCATATGCTTAAAGAATACCAGTTCATCCTTCTCTCTTTTCAAGCGTAATAAATTACTGCTTAGTTGTGTGCTTATGAAAAAACTCTTTTTCTTTTTTAAATACCACAGAACATTTCTCAACTAAATGTGACTTACCTGGCAAACAGCTACAGTGAAATTCACCAATCAAATCATGGCAACGGCCTCCATTTTTACAGGGCTTGGAGGAACATTCATCAATATCCGTGGAACAGTTTTTGTCTGACAGAAAAGAAAATTAAACATTAAAACTATAAATCATACTGGGAAAGTATAAAAGCTGCTTCACAGTGCAAGTGACAACTGCATAGTTTAACTTTTCCAGGTTGGAAACACTATTTCTGCTTGACAGTTTTAAAACTAGAGATATTCATAGATATGACTGGTAGTCAAAAAATTAAATATTTTATAGTAATAAATATGAACAGCATTTGCAAAAATGTCCTTTATATATTCCAGCAGCACAACTCAATACCTTAATTACTAGAGCTATATGCTACTTTGAAAAAAATTGTTTTAGAGATTTAATAACCTTAGTAACAATAATAAAAAAAAATACTTCTTGAGGTTGCATTCATATTTCCAGAAGAATGAAGCCATTTCTCAGATCCAAACAAAACCCCACAAGTTTACTCATGTATTCCTTAATTTTTCTGCTTTTAAAAAGATTTAATTGAGCTGTAATTCAGATTGATTCAAATGAATGAAATTATAGGTGAATATGCAAAGATACATAGAGGGGAAAATTTAGAAGGCAACAGAATGGTGGCCTATGAAAACAGTTAACTCATTGGACATACCAAATAAAATCCAGCCTCCTGTTTCTCTGTTGTGCATTACATTAATTTAGGGCAATCCCTACCTAGGCTATTATAAATAATACTGAGACCTTTCTGAACAAAAATTGATCAAAAATAGATTGGACAAATATTTGGACTAAGAGCTCACATGAATACCAGAAGTTAAGTCAATTATAGAGAAGGAAAGCAACTATCACTATCACTGATGTGAACAAGCAGTACTTTTGTTGGTATTCTGTGTAGAAATTATGGAAGATTCCTTGTGTCACTCAAATCAGATATACCAGACAGGTATTGAATCCCAAACACCTCAGTCAGAGCAGAATGGAAGGATCATGTGGGGTTTCTCAGGTCCCTCTTGGACAAATAAAGCTTGTACAATTATAGCTCCACTACAACAATAAATGCATGGATGGCAGAAGGAGTTTTGTCTTCCTTAACCGTAAGATGTACATTCATCTAACATGTAAAAATAGAATGCTTGCAAAAATCAAATTAATGGGAAGGGGAGAAAGTGAGGACAAGACAGAGGAAGGAAAGGAAAAAAAAAAAACACTAAGAAAAAGGGTTAGGGTGGATGGTAGCAGATGGGTTTAAGAGGATGGTAGCAGAAGCTCATAGACAAGGATAATTATAGAAACCAGGTAAGACTTTGACATTTTGTGGATACTGCACAGTCACATATAGTATGTTGTATTTCATGATTAAATACAGATCAAAAATCCAGTAGAATCAGTTAAAAGGAATCTTAAATTTTTATAGCTTGTGGGTTTTTCTGCTGATATTTTGTTTTGTTGTTGTTTTTAAAACAACAACAAAAGAACTAGCAGAATCCTTAACAACACAGGACTTGGACCCATAGAATATTTAATTGCAAACCCATAATTTTTGAAAGGAATCATCATTCAAAAATTCAAAGGTATTTGAATGTACTATTGGTAATTTTTCATGCCATAGTGAAAAAGGTAACTGCAAGTTACTTGATTCAAAGTTAAAGGGAAAAGTACTCTCTGACTATAAGGAAAGAAATGTGAAAAACTTGCCTGAGAGCATTCAAAATCTATGGAAAAGGAGAAAAGGGTGAGCAACATAATAAAAAGGAATTCAGAAGAACTTCATAGAATGTAGAGAAATTCTGATTTGAAACCTGCTGAAGAGTGAACATTTTGCCTTAAAAAGGTAATTAAGAGAGCTGCAGCTTGCTATAAGTACACAAGGACAAACTTTTTGTGGGAGAAAGACAATGGATATTAGGAGACCAACACGACACTTGCTGGTTTTCAAAGTATGAAAAAAGCCCAACTTATAAAAAAGCAGGTCAAGTTGCTATGGATAAACTAAAAAGTACAACATAAATATGCAGGCATGAAATTGGACCAGCAAAAGCATGTAGCTATTATGGGATGGCAGGGTAACAAGAAATTGCGCTGTATGTACTTCATATTGAAGATGAAGGAGAGATGCGGTTTGCCATCCAGTGAAGAAGGATGGTTACTGATAATGGTAATCACACAAAATTGTTCAATGCTTCTTCTGCCTCAATCATCAGTAAAAAGACCAGCTGCAGAGCAGGTCATTATCATAATTAATACTTATGATTAAAGGGCAAAACTTCAGTGTTGAATACAGAAGAAAAGCTGTAGAATTGTCAAATTAGTTAAATAGTCAGATAGGCTGGTCTGAAGAACTCTACCCTTGGGTACTAGTGAAAAAAACTCAATAGTTTTCTTTGTGAACTTCTGTAAAATAGGTAAAGTACCTGAAGACCCATTAAAATCAGCCTTCAGAAAAAGAATAAAAGGCAAAGACATGAAATTATAAATTCATTTGTGAAACTCCTTTTCCTGGAAGAAATATTGGAAAAAGTTTTAAAGTTTACTTGCAAGAACATATAAATAAAAACCAATTCATTAAAAAATGGGCCTTATGTAAGCAAATTTATTCCCCTCTACGTTAAATTTACACATTCTGTGGATAAGAAAACCCAGCAGCAAATGTCATGCTCCTTTTGTTCACTAATGCTATTTTTTGTGAAATCCCAGTAATCGGTTTACATAGAAACTATAAGAGCATATTATCAAATGAGTAAAATTTTATGGAAAGCCATATTCATGCATTGGTTAGTAGTGGTTTTGCTACCAGACTGGATGAATGAATTGCAGAGGTTCTGAAAGAAATCCGCCCATTCAATTCCACTAATTTTTTTTCAACAGCCTAGATGGTGGGTAGCAAAGTAAACTCACTGGTGGCAACCCAAAAAGGTACATTGAAGAACAGGTTTAGAAGTCTTCATGAATTTCAACCAGCTAAAGATAGAGTCTGATATAAGCAATGTAATACGATCAGAAGCGAAGATACGATACAGAAAATCACAAGTAGGAAAAAACACCAGAATTTTGTTTTAAAATAAATAGTTTGCTGACATATATAAAAAAGAACATAGACAGTTAGAAGTTTTACTGGAATAAAGCTGCTTTTGGAGTGCTTTGCATTGCGCAGTGAGGTGCATTTAAGAAAATTTTGAGACTCCACATGAGCATGTTAGGAATGAAAACCAGCTCAAAATCATGACCTTGTAGGATGAACAAAATAAATGAGCCTATAAAGCCTAAATAAGGAAAATTTGAATAGAAATGTGATGGCAATCATAAAATAAGAAAGTACTCTCACAAAATTCATCGGTTTTCTGTGTTCAGAGTAGACAGGGTGAGAAGTAATGCATTTAAACTGCAGTGAAATATTAGACAATAAGGAAATCCTTGTAGTGGTTTGTAAAATATCACACTGGGAAGATTCTACCAAGAAAAGAAGGAATTATTGGATTTCTTTAACAAGATACATAGGCGAGAAAACAGCATAGTATATTTTATGTTTTTTGCTGGGATAAGAATGAAACAGTTTATAGTTAGTATTTTGTTCTAGTGTTGTGATTATATAATTTACAGGGTATAAATTCTGTTTATGACACTGAAGGATGTCCAAAGACTTATGTTTATGTAATGAGTTGGATTGTCTGGAAACTTGCTTTGCTTTGTGGTAAAGGTCTTAAGTTACTCAGTGTGTGATAACTGTGCTCTGATTTTGGAACCTAGGGTTTCTGTCCAAATCTCTGTCTCTGCTCTATTTCTCCATCAAAACAGGTTTCTACATTAGTGGTATGAAAGAGAGGTGAGCCCAGGCTTGCAGCAGACAAGAGAAGTAGGATAAAAGTGCTAACACTATCAGGAAGAGAAAACCACATTCTTCCTGCACACCATAAATGCACATGGTTGAAATTACAGACTGACAGGTACCAAGGCCTACCCTTCCAAGAAAGCAGTACAGCTTTTGGCACATTCAATCTGAGTTCACCCCTCAAATCTTTCTCATGATAATACCATAATGAAGCAAATGAGGCATTTTATACTTCCATGAATCTCCTTTTCTGTAGGCAAATGTGAAAAGTCCTTAGTCTACTATTTCAACCCTGACTTTTAAACAGATACTTCATTTCTACTTTCACTTCCTTTCCTACATCTCTTTTCCACAGGGGACCAAGCCTATGCACCAAATGGAATCTTGTGATAACTTTTGTTTAGTAAACAGTACATTTTTCAATGTACTGCAGGTCACTTCTGGTCACTTGTAGTTTGCAGATACAAGCATAGAAAAAAACATGCAGATTATAGCTACTGAGCTGTTGCTGAGCTGTATGGGGGAAACAACAAAAGCAATTTGAAAAGGACTGCTGAAGACCTCAGCATATGAGCACTATTGCAGTGCTGTGAGAAAAAAATCTCAGACGTATTTAAATAAAACAAAGAGTGAACATTGATGTGTAAAATACCTCTGTATAAAACATTGATTAGAATGTTCCATATTTAAAAATAAGTGGGAAGGATGCAAGAAAAGCTACACAATTTATTCAATGACTGAAGAAAGCATGCTGTTGGCAAAGGCTTAAAGAGCTCCATCTGTTTCATTTAGAAGAAACAAAACCAAAAAGTGACTTGATTACAGTGTGCAAAGAGAAAACACTTGAGTAGCAAGAGCTTTTTCATTTTGTGTAGAAAAGGTAATGAGATGCAATAGATCAAAGTTGAAGACAAAAATTTAAATAAAATATTTAATATAAACTTCTAAATCTGATGGTGATTACTACTAGAAAAAATGCCAGTGAAATTCTGGCTTCTTTTCATTCATTCAAATCAGGATTGAATGCTTTCGGATTCATTGTGTGCTTTAATCAAAACTAGAGTAATTAGGTTCAGTACAAGGTGGTTAATGGCCAACATTAACTTCCTTCTGGTACACAGACCTAATATAGAGCATACAACCAGCAATCTATGGATTGTTAGAAGACTTGCAGAACATATAAATTCATCCTGTAGCCCTTTCTGTGTCTTTCCTGGGAAAACATCACAGCAATTTAGCGAGACAGGT